CCCCGCGCCGCGGGGAAGGCGCTCGTCCGAAGGCAGCCCTCTAAGGGCACGCAGCGACAGCACCGTGGTAATTACTATTAGAGTGATCGGTAACCTTTCACAAGCCGCTAATTAAAAGACTGACAAGGATCCAGTGTAGCTCTTTATACACGTACCTCACAGAAACGAGTAGATTCCCTAATAAAATCTATGACTAGATTTACATCATCATGGCTATTCATTTCTATTGTAGCTATTACTATTTCTCTTGTAGCTATTAGACAGCATCTCAGAGAACAGCTTTTTAAATGCTACTATCTCCTGGAATCTAATCATAGAATTATCATTAATATTTACTGTCTATATTAGCCATTAATAAAACTATCACTATCCTATAACCTACCAGTGAATGGGGATGGAGCTGTATGGGGTCTATCCCACACTGGCCCTCCTTCTCCCGGAGAGAGCTGCACTGAGCAGACCTGGCAAACAGCAGGCACTGATATGACCTAGTACCTGCTGCAAGACTTGTTTAGTGCTCAAAGTCCCCTGTTTCTTGACAGTGAGGGTGACAGAGCATGGGAACAGGTTGCCAAGAGAGGTTGTGCAATCTCCTTCCCTGCAGATCTTCAAATCCCGCTTGGGCACAATCCTGTGTAACATGCTCTAGCTGACCGTTCGGACTAGATGATCTCTCGAGGTCCCTTCTAACCTTAACGATTCAATGATTCTATGACAACCACTTCGCACAACTTAAAAAGCTCAGGTTTGGTAGACTCGATACAGCAGCCATCACCGAAAGGCACGGGTGAACATAAGCAGCACTAGGAACAGTGATTTGGCATGAGTAAGTAGATGAATTCCAGTTATTCCTATTATAGAAACCTTGTAAAAGTTGCTACTTAAAAAAGAATAGATTGCATTACTGACACAGAAAATAAGTAAACACAGGGTCTTTGTTACTTCTAACAGGAATGTCCACATTTAAAATGCATGCAGATGCATGAAATCGGTCCACAGCACCTTTACAAAAGGCCTGGCAACAACACACAGTGTTAGGTCCAACAAATGCAGTCCACATTTTCAGACCAGCAATACTTGCGGGTGCTGCTGAAGAGGCTGCAGGCAGCCTGCAATACTTTACCGAAGAGTTACATGTAAGTATCGCTGTATCTCCTTCCGAAACAGTAGCTGCATCTCTGCTGCATCCTGGCAGCTCAGTGCCTTGTCGCAGGACTGATAGGTCAGTCTGTAGCAGAGGCTCTTCCGTGCAGTCTCTGAATGCTGGAAACTGTCAATTAACTGGATGGATACGACTGTTTCACGTGACACCTGCCTGGCAATGGTGTGGAAAGCAACTTCATCAAACTGTTCACTCTCAGGAACCCAAAAGCTGACATCATGCACATAAGAAGGCGGATAGAGAGAAAAACTCTTAAAAAGCCTTAACTCTCCCCCGAGAAACTGACTGAGGAAGCGCTCATCCGATGTCCAGAGCATCCGCCAGTCAGCTATTCCACAGATCAGCATAGCTAAGAGGTCCAGATTCAATGACGCAAACACAACCACCAAACCACCGCTCTTTGCTCCACCACAAGCCATGCCCACAGTTCCCACACACCAACCCTTTTCACAGGAGCCTAAAGCATCCGTTTCCACACAAACGGTGTGTTGAATTTTAGTAATCTGACTTTCAGAAGCAGCAAAGCCATTTAGTTCTGTTCTTTCAAAGTTTGTTGCTTCCTGCAGAGTAATGGTCAATTTACACCCAGAAGCAGTCTGGTGAAGCAAATATATACCGCTTCTAATGGCATCCACCAGCATCTGCATAAAACCGCTCTCCATACCCCTATCAACTGCACCTACAAACAGCGCCTCATGAAAAACAGGCAGAGAGTGGGGAGAGATAGGGCACTTCCTGAAGACAGGGCCACAAATAACATAAAGCGTCTCAGGCAGAAAGGTGGCTCTTTCTATTAGTGTCTGAACATAGGGCAGCAGGGAAGGCCTAAGGAAATACTGTTCTGAAATGAGGTTACCCTCTTGTACCTTCATGCAGCCATTTTCATCTGCATTCTTGCAAAAATCAGTGTGGAAAAATAACACTGCGTTTGCCAGTCCATGAGCCATTTGTTCAGTGCTTGCATTCTGCTCTGGCTTGGGAATGATCCAAAACACATTTGAGTGACAAACACCACCAATGTCACCTTTGTGTAGCAAAGAAAGGGAGCAGTCAATGCTTTGTACTGGAAAGGTTTGGCTGAGCACTGCAGTGAGCTGCTTCTTGACTGTTCTTACTGGATGCTCTGAATTGCGTTCTAGGAAACCCCTGTGGAAAACAACATGACAAATTATAGACTCCATTTGGTACATGGCTAAGTTGGTCATGTATGCTGAGAGTGCATGTTACTGCCAAACACTTGCTAATTATAATACTTACCTGTTAATCTTATCCACAAGCATTTGTGGTACTTGAAAAGAAACTCTTTTGCTTCCCAGTTCCATCTGGCAAACCATAGGTTTGAGATGTAGAAGTGGAGTGCTTCGTGTGAAAATGTGGTTTAAAGCTCCGTCCACACTGAAAGATTTATCTTGACTTCTGTCAATATATAAAACCATAACAAAGTCATTGATATATTTGTATACTTAATCTGCCAGAAGTGCGCATGGTGACAGAGATAACCTGAAGAGACCTACTGACCACAACACTAAAAACACTATTTCTGAATGCCAGCTCACGTTAGGAGGTGAGCAAAATGCTACTCAATCTATTTTTACTGTGTGTGTGGTCAAAAAACAGAAGAGCTTATCCAGAGAGGTCCTGGAATCTCCATCCTTGGAGATGCCCAAAATCCAATGGGATATAGCTCTAAGAAACGTGCTATACCCGATCATGCTTTGAGCTGCAGGATAGGAATATCTCCAGACATTCATACCAACATTGAGACTATGATTCTGTGATCGTCTGCAATGCAGAAACACATACCACAGTCCCCCGCTTCTTGCCTGCGGGGCAAGGCTGACATTTGTTCTAACAGTGACCACTAGAACCTTTAATATCCTAAAATAACCTTATTTCTGAAGGATACTTTCTCAAGCTGCTTAAATTTTAATCTTAGCTATTCTCCTTAGAGACAAAAGAGACTGGTAGCTATTTTAAGGAATACAAATCCAGTTTCTCTCTCTTCAAGAAACAACAGACTGAAAGAAAATATGATGATACCAGCCTTCATGAAAGCATTAGTTTCAATATTTGAGTATTGTCACCTAACGGTTACCTGTAGCCTGTACATTTATATCCATGAATACTCTCTGCATTGAAGGGACGAACATCACTCAGGATAAATCTGGCTCCTGCCGCGACCGCCACTATTTGCCAGCTGTTGTGCCACTCTCTCCTTGGTCGATCAGCAGGTGTCCCACCCTGCCCACTGCAAAGCGCCACATGGACCTCACCTTCCTCTGCCAGCACTTCTGCACAGCTAGAAGGAAAACCAGGCAATAAGAAAAAAATGCTAATGCATTCAGAATTTGTGTAGTGCTAGTGAAACACCAGGAGAGGGGCTAGAAAGCCATTTCATAGCAATTTGAAAACAAAACAAAACAAAACAAACTCTACTCACCTGGAGAAGAACTGGGCAAGCAACTCTCTGTTCTTCACCACTCCAGCTTTTCTTCCACAGTGTGGGAAGTTGAAATAAACACATGAAAACAGTCTGTCGGATGGTAAAAAGTAGTCCTTCAATTTTGTGCAGTCCACAGAAAACAGAACTTCAGCTCCTCCAAGGCATGCAAAAAGAAGCATAAGAACTTTTAAGTTATGGCAGGTTTTCAAACCAAGTCAATGACTAAACTGCATTAAAGGGAGGCCTAAATCGGGCTGTTAAAACTGTCGACCTGCAGCACAATTTCGACTTCTGGGCATACATATTGTGAATGGAAACCAAAACTAAACCAAAGCAACTGCTGCTCAGCGCACCTCCAGGCGAGGAGACGGCCCCGCCGCGTCGCCTCACCTCTCTCCCGCAGCCGCCGGATGTTTCGGGCCGCCAACGGCCG